AGCAGTATTTGCATTTGAATTAAGAGAAGCATATGAAGTCTGTAAAAACTGGGGAGCATTAGCTGTTTGTCTGAACACCATGAATGGCATGCTTTTCTTTTCTTGCAAAAAAGTCCTTGTGGGTGTTCTCCGAATGACTGATTTTATCTGGATAAAAGGCAGCAGTGATGCAGTGTTGCTATATCATCATAAAAACCATTCGTGTGCAATCTGCAATGTGGGAATTTCACACAGGAAACTGAAGTTCCCTTTTTTTAACTGACATCAGCGTTATTTTCTTGCACCCATGACCACTGGAGCTACTCAACATTATTAAATGTGACTTTTTTTTTAAGCCAAGCAAATGAAATGAAAATAAAACATTGGGTTTTAGTATTTTCCCTTTATATGAGAGCTTTTTTGCTAGATTTGACATATGTCTCCACTTACCTTTGCCTAATTCTGTGTATCAGTCTGTGGCTTCGTCCCTCATCTCAGCCCTCTTTCCCCCCTGTCATTAGTACAAGAAAATCCCTAAACACTGCCACAAAAAGCACCAACCCTCATTCAGATGACATGTTCTGTTTGGCTTTAAAGATGGCACTAATGAGTGCTGGGCTGTAAAGCTCGGTTGCATCCGTCTTTTGTAACCATAACCATAACTCCACCCTCTGCAGACCGCACAGTGCATTTTATTTAGAAATGATAGCCAAGTGAGGCCTCTTCAGTGTCCTGGAACTATATTTGTCCCAACTCTCCTGTTTCACTACAGCTTTTTCAAACCAGAAACACATGTTTGTCTTTGTGGTTTGGTAGACAAGAGGGGGGGCGATATCTTTCCCCTCTCTCTTTCTGATGTGACCTCAAGCCGCAGCTGATTGAAGGGTCATTGATTGAAAAAAGATGAAAGTAAGAAGAAGATGGATGGACAGAGGATGGATAAATGGGAAATGAGAGCACCATGTTGTTAAAGGAAAGAATGCACTCGTGTCAGTAACGTAGCACAGTAACACAAATGCTTTTCACCAAAACATTGTTAAATATGGAAATATACACATACTGAAGGGTGCACGGGTTTTTTGTCTATTTGATTGTTTGTTTAAGATGGGGTTTTCTCATTTTCAATACATAATAGTCCAAGTTACAACATCCAGAACTGAAAAATACAAAAAAAAAAACCGGAAGTACCAAAAACTGTAGTTCCTCAAGTGGCCACTTGAGGCTGCTTCCATGTCTGTGCAAGTAGACAACCATATATATATATATGGGGGGGTTTTTTGGTCTCCCTAGCCTATTTCTGCCTCCACAATAAAAGCACTGTGGGTGAAAAATTAGAGGCATGCCCATTTTAACTGACAGCGCCATCTACAGGGCCTCACACCCACTGAAATGATCTGACGCATAATTTGATTCGCTGTGTAATGCAGCCCATCCAAAAGGTTTGTGCTCTACTGTTTAATTAGTCCTTTACTAATGCACCCATACAGTTTAACAATGGCGCTTGCTAATCAAGCTCGCTAACCTCAGCTGATAACTTCACCCTCTCATGTAAAAAAAACAAAAAAAACCCCAAATTGATGATGTCATAGGGACTTTGTCCATCTTTTATATACAGTCTATGGTTAAGTCATATTTATTCAAACGGGTACAGATTTGGAATTTGTTTGGTTGTAAATTTGATTTTTTAACATGAGGAAATCTTAAACTCAAAGAGCACAACAATGCACGGAGGCAGAGGAGGAGAGGTGAAAAGTGGCTTGTAAACAAAAAGGCTGGTGGTAATGGGGAAATACAGGACTATAAATACTTTGAGAACTCACTGACTAATAAAACAGAAGTGAAATAAGTCAGGTTGTGGAAAACCATCTTAAAGGCAGGAAATACAACAAAGGCATGCAGTAACAGAACTAAACACACTAACACAGGTGAACATAGGGAAGCGGTGAGAAGAAAAGATGGGGCGGCAGGGAAAAGTAAAAGAAAAGCAACAGCAGAAAAATAATCACAGGCACTGCAAACCATGGCAATTAAAAATAACCCACATTGATTGATGAACAAACAAGTTGCATTATTCATTTTTATCTTCATTAAATCAGATTAATTTCTGTCCTTGATCGACATACCGCAGCACAGATTTCTCAACCTAGATTTGAGAAACCCATCTGCACATTTCGCACAGACACACACATAACTCATGCGCACACACACACAGTCCAAAGTGTGCCAGCTGAGCAGGAGTGAAGCCTCCCTCATCCCTCGCCGCCTATCTTTCCTCATCATTTATCATGTCGGCCTTTTAATGACACCACCTGTGTCAACAGCGAGGGGACCACTTCAGTGTGTGCGTGCCTCTCCTTGTGTTTCTATCAGTGTGTGGTTTCGCGTTTGTAGCCATGCTCAGATAACATGCAGGTCACATCTGGACTGGCAACACGAGAAGCCCCCCGCGCCGCAACACACTCACGCTAACACACACACACACTTTGTTCCTGCCTCCGAGCAACGCTTGACCCGCGTCCACGCCTCGTGTCCTCCTGTCTCGCTCGGAGATCAGTCACTGTCTCGTAACCTCGCTCGTGTCACTTTGCAACAAGCAAGGTGTGAACCGCCCCGCCGCGTTGACCGATGCAAGCCGACGCAGAGATTTTACATGAGCAGTGTAAACATTGCGGATGTGACTGTGGAGAAAACAGCTTGTGTACAAAAGATGGCACTGACATAACAGCTGCCAAGCTGGCCCGCTGGTCTGTTTGGATGAGCCTTGTGTTACGTGTTATTACTTTGAACTGGGTCGTCTGTGTTAATTCAATTCAATTCAATTTTATTTATATAGCGCCAAATCACAACAAAAGTTGCCTCAAGGCGCTTCATAGATACAGAGAAAAAC